GGTGTCTGTAAAAACCTGGTGCATGTCGAGCATATTATTATTATATACTATAATATCCTAACCAAGTTAACCTCCCCTTATATATTTTAATAATAAATGAATTATACGTAGAGTATGTTCATGTAGCAGTATTTTTTACAATTACACGTTTTTCAGAAGTATATAATATATTCTCTACTTAATATTATTCTTTCTACTAATTGAGAACATATATTAAATGTTGCTATAATAACATTATATTACGTATTTTATTTATTTTATCATACACATATAAATACATAATATATTATAGGATTTATTCTATATCTTTAGCGAAGTATGATAATAAAACCGTATTTGTATTGCAATTGTATTTTCTTTTGAACCCTGCGACCGAAACAAAAACAATCCCCCCAAAAAATAAAGAACAACACACTTCAAATACAAAAGTCACTTCTTTCAAGGCAAGATTACCAGTTTCTAAAGGAATAAAAGGTAGGATTCAGGGCCGCCATTACGTGTATAGCAGCTGAGACAGAATTCACAGCCCTATGACCTAGATATGGATTCCATGTTTCGGAAAAAGCAAGGAGTAGATTTTCACAAATTTATTTAAACACTTATGATAATTGTCGACAATTATCTAACTGGATTCTTCAGACATGAGTATTTAGAAGGCGGTAAGTACCTATTAATGTCTGAAGAAGCCACTGTTTCGCGAAACATGTGATATGTCAAATTAATTTATGAAAATCAACTTTCTACGTTTTCCCTCATTATAAATTTTTATCATGTTAAGATCGAAACTATTCAATCATAATTATTTTTTCGCGTGTATGTCCTATATCGATTGATAGAAGATACAATTTCAAGTCTAAGCTCTGGAATTAATTTTAAAAGATAAGAAATAGACAAGAGCATAAAAACAAAGGAATCATTAACTATCTGATTAATAAAGTAAATCGATAAAATGGTCGATTAATTTTATAGAAAACATTTATTTATACAATCAGTTTATCATTAAATGCGTATGTACATTGCAGGTATAAAAACAAAAATTCTGTTTGACTTTCACTCTGGTTCGGCCTCGTCGAACTTCTCATCTTTATCTAGGTACAAAAAGGTGGGTCCAGGCTCCACATCGATGACACCCTCTTCCTCGTCTTCTTCTTGTTCGAGATTTTCAGGTTCGAACTTCACCTCAAGTTGTTCGTCTTCAGTGGCTTGATGCATTTCGGCTTCCAACATTATCTTCGAAATTTCCATTTTCACTAACATTTGCCGTTTCCTACTGAACGTTTTCAATGTTTTTGAATAGCTGAGGAACAAAAGATCGTCAGCGTCAGAGTCTTGCAACAAATAATCGTTTAGACCCTTTTCGAAATGGGGAAAGGACGGACCGTAAATCTTCCCGCATTTTCGACGTTTCGAAACTGAAGGACCATCATCTGTAACATGAATTTCCACGCTTCCCTCTTCTTCACTGAGAGGATCACGTAAAGATGATCCGGCAGCTAATGTAGGGCTAAAAAATGTTAAACCTTTAACAATTGCTTTAATCACAGATATGAATTAGTTTAGTACCATCTGCTGATAAGGGTGGGTCTTAAGAATTCCATTTGTTCCGCCCAGGGCCAATTCTTGTACCTTTTATCGGTACCTCTGGTACCATTCCGAAGATATTTTACGTACGAATCCTTTAGATTTCTCCATTTGCTCTTAGCAGTGTATCCTATAATTAGTAAGGAAATTAATAAATAATCAACTGGATATATTTTCACAAAATTTTTCAGATCATATCATTGTTAAATATATTCAACAATTACTTACCACTTTCAAGTCCTAGTTCAAGAGCTATAAGGGTCCATAAGCTGTTTTTCTTTTGTTGATCCTTGAAATCGACATGATGGGGATTGTACAATTCAGGATGACGTTTCACTATCGCTATTAATTGATTCATTACTGTTTTCCACTTAAACAAACACGTTCATTTACATAGGTCACGATAGTACCTGCTCCTAGTCTAAAGCGTCAGATTTTCACGCGCGCTATAGTACCACGAGATTATACAACACAAATGTATACGCGGCGATAATTTTATATCAATCATGGACGATACTTGACGCTAAATGTAAATATTGTAACGGAATATTGCAAAATGAGATTGTTTGTTGGTATTTTTATTTTCGTGGCCGTTTATTGAGGACGTATACGTGAAAAATATTGCTGTTAAACCGTAGCGGGCAAACGAAACGCGTTCTCAACGCTCGCTGCGATACTGTTGCGACTGAGCAAGACCGAGAAGGGGCCCCCGCATTGCGGACTGGGTATTGCGTCTCCCGGAAAGCGATTGGGGCAATGGCACGACCGTGTATCGTGCGGTTCACTACAAATCGCTCCGTAGCCACAAACTGCTTTCACATTTTCCGATAAATTGAAAAACTGGCGATACTGAGAAACTGCTACAGCGTTAATTTTGCCAAAGTAATAAAAGTAAACAATAAAAGGAAAATGTTATTTATATTTTCATTTAATGTTACGTACTGATGCGTTATTGCAATTAACAATAATTACATCAGGTAATTATGCATGCAAACGGAATGTCTTTGTATGTATCAATTGTTAATTTGAGAAAAATCCATAATACATATTGCAATTTGTTACACAGAAAATAAACTATTGAATAACCAGCATATTTATCTATTTATTTATGACAATTCTCTGTAACAATTTCAGGTAGATACAGGTGTAAATATTATTAATAAATATTTGAACTTATTCTACTTCCGAGAAGTTACAATACATTCATCGTCCTTATCAAGAATTAAGAAATCAGACCCGGCTGAAGGTTCATAACCTCCTCATCGTCGTCTTCATCCTCTTCATAAATTTCCGCAGGTTCAAACTTGACCTCCATCTGCTCGTCGTCTTTTGCTTGTTGCATTTCAGCGTTCAGCATTACTTTTGCAATTTTTGACTTCACCATCATTTGTCGGCGTTTACTAAAGGTCCTAAGCGTTTTTGAGTAACTAAGAAATAGCAAATCATCTGCATCGGAATCCTGTATGAAATAGTCGTACAGATATCCGTATCGGCCGAACTTTTCAGAAGTCAAAGAGCTTGATGATTTTGTGCTTCTTCTTCGTTTTGATGCCGAGGGTCCTTCATCATCAATAACATGACCCACAACGTTTCGTTCCTCTTCGCTTATAATCAGACAATCGGCCTGATAGGAATCTGCTAACTCAGGCCTAAAAACAATGTCCTAACACTTATCTTTTCAAAGGACCAAAACAATTATTGTACCATTTGCTGGCAATATAAGGTCTCATGAACTCCATTTGTTTTGCCCATGGCCAGTTCCTGTACCGCGTGTTACTAGCTCTGCTATGGGCAGTACCGTTTCTAAGGTGCTTCACGTAGGAGTCTCGAAGATTTCTCCATTTGCTTCTGGCGGTATCCCCTAGAAACGGGAACAGTTCATAAGGTAATGTACCGTATGGAATTTCACCCTCAATCAGGTACAAAATTGATTGCCGCTAATATCCGATAAAATAAATCTTATCAGCTGTCAACAAATTGTAAATCAATTAGATGCATATTCTAGTTTCTAGAAATTTTGTACCTTTTGAGGTTACACTGTTACATGTTACCATCTCCAAGGGCCAATTCGTAAGCTATTTTCGCCCAAACTTTGGCTTTCTTTGACTGGTCCTTGAAATCTGCATGACTAGGATTATACAGTTCAGGATATTTCTTCACGTAGATAATGAGACGATTCATAATCAATCCGTATATATAGTATTACCAGCATGTAACTATGGCAACGAATTTGCGACGCACTGCTACACCAATCAATCAGCTTCTATTGCCTGTTCGATTTTCGTGCAATACTTGTAGAACATTATTACATAATTATATTTGTTTATCGTTACATTATTTCAAGCCGTGGCGGTCATGAAGCACTAAAACTGCGTTCTGCGTACAATGGACCGGGAACTCCGCATTGCGGCCTGGGTTATATCGGTCCGGTCGTCGGCGGCGACGCGTCGCTCCTGAACGTACTCGATAGCGTTGGAGGAAGCTCGTACTTGGTCGCTCCGATGCGGTCATGGCTGCGATCGACCCCATGTTGTCGTTTTCATTTCCGTCTGCGTCACACTGTTGCCAAGCTCGTGTTTGTTTTATCTAAAATTTCGCCAAAGCTTGTGATTCGTAGGTACTATTGAGTAATTGGCTCGGTTTCCTAACACTTTTACGTTTGTGTCTCTTCATGTCTGAGAAGGTGTCCAATCATCCTGTCTCCACCATTTCTATTGACGTCCAAGGCGACTTCTGTTTTTCTGATGCCTCCTTATTTCTAAATCTTTCTATCTTTCATAAAATCGCACGGACCTACACATATCATTTACGATCTGCACGATTGCTTCTAAGTTGCAAAAGTTTAATATTGTGTTAAAATGTAGAAGATAATCTTTAGGTTGTAACGTTTTTATGTGGAATTTTGAGTTTTAGTGCTTTATTTAGTTCTTTTTGACAAAACTCCATTTAATTATATTCAATCTTTATTTGTTAGATATGTTAAAATAGAATAACAAATTTCTTTACAGAGTTGCTAAATNTTATTTTAGAGAAAGAAAAGAAAATCAATAGTTCTATATTTCGTACAAGAAGTATACAGAGGGTGGTTTTTAAGTAGAGTAATAAAATTAATGTTTTTAACGTGTACATTTCTATGCAAATGTTTATTATTAACTAACTGTCTCTCCGCAGCCCCCTTGATAATATTTTATGACAAATGCTTAGGGTCGCGAGACCCACTGTTACGAAAATTTTCGAATTTTCCCAAACCATCTCATCGACGAAGGCCGCCGCCATTTATCTAGGGCGAATGTCGTTCACAATAAAATACACTAACAAAAACCGGGTTTATATATATACAAACAAAGGCTACTTTTCGCTAAATTCGCCACCAATCAATACATTAAATCAATATTTTAAGCTAAACTTCGCATATGAATCGTCAGCAAAGAATACCAAACCGTACTTTAATAATAAAAAAAAAAAGGTTTCACTTTAATTTTAATTTTTCAATTGTATTGGTTGATGGGGTGTTTCGAGAAACCGTGCAAGTGAAGTTTTAGTCTTCTTATTGTAACATAAAGCAATAATGTAACGAATAACTAGTAGTTTTATATATATAATTATATAAAAAGAGTAACTAAGTAGCCATTTACAATAATTCTTAAGATAGAAATTACATGTAGCACCAATAACGCGCTAGGGTCTCCGAATCGTGAAGTGGTTAACGACGAGTACACTTTTCAATTAGGGGTAGTCGCCATCCTTGTGTATCATCCGATTGCCTATTACCGATTTTATTAAATTGCCTCGCTTGTATTATGACAGATCGTTCAGAAAAATTGTCACTTTCACCGAAGATCAATTTTGCTTTTTAACATTCCATAAAATCTGGAATTAGGGTGTCGTTACCCTGTGTTTCAAACTTAAATCCCGAACGATTCCTTTAAAATTTAGGGAATGAATCAAAGTTCGGTAAAAATGGTACCGTTTTGTAGGGAACATTCAAAGGTATTTTCGGAATATCGACTAGGATAAGTTAGGGGAATTTTTCTGAACATAAAAGGGGATGAAGAAGGCTTAAAGTAGAGAGTAGTGAACGGTAGAAACGTAACAGTAGGTGAACTTACGACCCGGGCGAGTCACCGCTCAGAAGTAAAAAAAAAAAAGAATATGTAACATAATAAAAATCTAGTTAGCTAAAATTATGGAGTATAATATATATTATAAATATATATATTTCTATGTTATAAATGAAATCGTGTGAGATGTCTGAATGTAAAATGATATTTATAGACATTTTGTGTAAAAATTGTACTGATGTCCCACACCCAAACTTTATTGCTGTTGGTTTTTATGTTATTTCAATTTGCTAATTTCACGTTTTGGAACGTACAAATACATTATATCGGCACCTCTACTACTTTTTATCACAGATTTTCCATACTTCGGGCCATAAAACTTGAACGGTAAAGAAAAAAGTAATTCGAATAGATCTCCGTGCGCCAAGTTGACGTAATGAGATTAATAAAAGTACCTACCAACGCTGCATTATTTATTAGTGCTCTCAAAAATTCGTTTCTAAAGTAATAATTTCTGAAAATTGTTAATTAATACTAATGGAAAGAAGACTGAAGCATGTGCAAGATTCAGTTAAGTATCTAGACACGTTGTTGGAATAATAAATAAATGACTATTTATTTATTTAAAAAATAAAATAAATTTTTCTTTCACCAAATGATTCATTCACAATGAGTTTGTAGTAGGAGGTGCGCATATATAAGACGTGGCAAAAGACATGAAGGAATTGAGAAATGTTTTTAAGTTCATACAAAAAAAAATGTATCAATTTCAAATTCACATTCCATATACTTTGATATAGGTTAATAAATGAAAAAAAAAAAAGAATAATAAAAATGAAGTCGCAGCGGGTATGACGAGAATGCTGGCACGTTGGAAGTAGCAACCTAGCACAATAATTGATCATATCAAAGCTTTACTGTGATTTGTAAGACTGAAATAAGTGTTATTTTGAGAAAAGAAAATCTTCCCTGGATTATTGACGTATTTTTCACCAAAACTCTTTTCGGTTCACTTACACCAACAGCCGTAAAGTAGCGATGACAAAGATATATAGTATCTTATAAGCGTGTATATTTTTGCAGTTTTTCAATATATTATAAAAAGAAAAAGACACTTAAAGTTTATCACGAACTTTATACGCCGTATACTTAATTNTCCATTTAATTATATTCAATCTTCATTTGTTAGATATGTTAAAATAGAATAACAAATTTCTTTACAGAGTTGCTAAATTAATGTCATACAGTTGTACATTACAGCATCCGCATAAATCTGCCAAGTTAACTTTAGTCATTACTCATTCTCTTAGGATTTCTACTGTTTCATTATTTTCTTCATTAAATAACGTGTGACAGCGGTTGTTACTTGTATAATTACGTAGCTTTTTGAATAGGTGTTCTGCTGGTTCGGCGTATACTACTTTTACTACTACTACTACAACAGACGCGGTGGCTGTGCCACCCCATTTGCACAAAGCCACCCTCCATGTAGGAGATCCCTCCAGACGGGGCAGTAGCCCCAGCAGAGAGAGAGACCCCGTCTTCTCCGTCGTCATGGGAACCGTGCCCATGCTGCACTGCACAACTTTCATTAAATTAAACCTTTGTACGAACTGCAGCTACATTCGTTCAACTTTAAAATCGCCCCGTTTATAAGAGAATCGGAAGTTAATTCAGTTTTATGTCTAACGTAAAAGGATGAAGGAAGGCGGACGTAAAGACGGAATATAAACACAAACAATGAAATTTTTAAGTAATTTCTGCAAGCTCAATGTATAACAGCACGTCTGTCAATCAACACTGTACAATACGTTGGAATTTTTTCAGGAAATCCGAAGATTCATAATGTTTCACACGATATGTATTCATCTTTCTCGATTCTGATTTGCAATCCGAATGATTGATTCTATGTTGCATCTAAGAGAAATATTACACAGCACATTGAGTATATGTATTTTGGAGTAAAGTAGACGCTGTACAACTCCCTAAGTGCATCCATTTGCAATCTCCAAGTTGTTACGTATATATTCGTACGAATACAGCTTTTTATATTTTGCTTATATAGGTGAATAAAACTTTGATTTCAATGCTACACTTCTACATGAATTTGATATATGATAGACGCTTCCCGAAATCTTTACATCCACCATACAAGTTTACAATTTATTTATTCCAAAATAACTTACAAGAGGACTGGAAATTACAAAGAATCGATAGCTACAAGAAGTTGAATGACTATAATAAACATATTTTCTTGTAGGTAGGCATGTGCATCGATAATGGACAATGGAGCGCACAGCGGGTAATTAAACGCATCTTGGATACGTAAGTGCGTATCGAGTAAGTGAGCGCAAGCAGGGTAAATGAGAGTATGCTGCAAGGAATGTGTGAATGCTCGATAAACGAAAAGGATCCGTGTAATACATGAATGCTTACAGGGTAATTGAGCGCATGCTGCAAGGAATGTGCGAATGCATACAGGGCAAATGAGCGTAGAAAGGGTAAACGAGAGCATGCTGCAAGGAATGTGCGAATGCTCGATAAGTGTTAAGGACGCATGCAGTACATGAGTGTATGCAGGGTAAATGAGCGCATGCTGCAAGGAATGTTCGAATTCCCGATAAGCGATAAGGATGCATGCAAAACATGAATGCATACAGGGTGATTGAGCGCATACTGCAAGGAATGTGCGAATACATAAGGGTAAATGAGCGTACAAAGAGTAAACGAGAGCATATTGCAAGGAATGTGAGAATGCTCGATAAGTGTTAAGGACGCATACAGTACATGAGTGCATGTAGGGTAAATGAGCGCATGCTGCAAGGAATGTGCGAATGTTCGATAAGTAATAAGGATGCATGCAATACATGAATGTATACAGGGTAAATGAGCGTAGAAAGGGTAAATGAGCGCATGTTGCAAGGAATGGGCGAATGAGCGCAAAGAAAGTGGGCATATTAGATACGTGAACACATAATGGATAATTAAGCACACCTTGAGTAAGTATCCCAAGTAAATGACTTGATAAAGGGTAAACGAATATTTGCATAAAGGTAAGTAAGCGCATGACGGGTAAGATAATCCGTAAGGGATAAACAAAGAGAGAATACTACTTTTAGAGTATTTTGGCGACTTAAATGCTCTGTTCAATTATCCTTAAAGATTCAAAAGATGTGCAGCCCTCTTATGATGTTACAGTTAAATATAAAACAGGGATCAGGATTTTGATGATGTTACAGTGTAGTAAATAGATCGATATTCCCATTCGGCAGAATAAAGTTGGTGGCAGTTCTAAAACATTTCAGACGCGGTTGTTGCATTCGTATGGGTTTAGTAAATTTTTACAGCATCCACTTATTCTTGAATTACGCCAGACATATCTGGAGCTTTATATCTATGTATAGGTGGT